GTCCCCACAAACGGACCCGTCGTCCCTTTTCAGTCAGCCTCCCGCTGCCCGGCCTTCACCTTGATCTCCTCCACCCGCCGGGTCAGGCGGCTGATCCGAGTGCCCAAATCCTCCTTCTCCAGCCTCCCGGAGTGTGCCAGAACCTCCGTCACGAAAGAAGCCATCGCCACGACAGGAACCAACACCGACGAGGTCACTATCTTGAGGCCAGCGCGGCAACCCCAGTCCCGCCGGCGGGATTGGCGCGCGGCCTGCCGGGAAACTGAGCCTCGCGGGGCCCAGACTGCGGCTCTGAAAGAGAGGTCGCACTACAACTCCCAGCAGGCACCGGGACCGTCCTAGGTTGGAATTTCCACGGTGTCCCTTCGCTGGCAAACTGGGGAAGACGCGTTTCTTTCTCTGGCTGTTTTCAAATAGTTTGTTCCCGCCTGTTTTTCGCTAGAAGATATGAAATGTTTTTACTTAAAAACCAGTCCTAAATGAACCTTTCTCAACTTCAAAACGCTTAGCTCTGAAATTTTTCCAGCCGGAATACCGGAGGAACCCACCTTGATCTTTTTTCGTTAATTATTCACCCTTAAGGGCCGCAGCTGCCAGCAGAGTCTGTATGAATAGAGCCCTCTGGAGTTGTGCAAATGAAGTGGCGTTACCTCATAAAAAAAGTCTGCCTAAATTGCCCTCCTTTTATGTTGCATAGTTTACAATGCAATCTATGTACATATATTACATTACGTACAACTATGTGCATATATTACATACATACTACATCTGTGTAACAAATACACGTGTTTCTTCTATGTAATACATTACATATTTATAAATATGTTTTTAAAGATTTCATTTACTTATTGGAGAAAGAGTGCACTGGTGAGCACAGAGGGAGAGGAGAAGCAGACCCCCTGCTGAGTAGAGAGCCTGACAGGGGCTCGATCCCAGGACCCTGAGATCAAGACCTGCGGTGAAGGCAAACGCTGAACCAACAGAGCCACCCAGGTGCCCCCATTACATATTTATATTGTTTATATGACTTAAGTATAAATAACATTAGTACTGTGTAGATTAGAGCAAGATATTTAACACTTTCTATCAGAGGTTACAAATCAACTTTATCTGAAGTTTTTAAAAAATTGTTCCATTATTTACATGTGTCACATATTGAAAGATGTTCATAATATACCATGTAGAGGATGATTGTTTTTTAAAATAAATAGATATAGATACATATATAGAGGTAAAGGGTATACACCAAATTATCTGAGTGGCAAACTTATGGTATTTTTTTCTCTTTTTTGCCCTCTTTTCTTATTTTTCTGTCATAAACATGTACTGCTTTGATTAAAATGTCATCTTTAATTTTTAAAAAAGTATCTGGTGAGAGTTGACCCCAGGTAGATGCTGACCCTAAAGTCCTTATCATTTTTAGGTGTCTGTAGGACTATCTGCTTATCCCAATGAGCCAAGGGCAGCTTTCTGTGACACGAGCAAAGGAAATGAAACAGGGGTTGAGACAGGAAGCACAAAGGACAGCCATAACATGCTGGAAAGGCATCCCTCCCTAGAAAACCAAATTCGTTTCTGATCAGTAGACCTGTCAGCCTCACTTTGAATTTTAAATGCTATGACTACTAAATGCCCAGTGAGAAAGAAGGACCTGCAGGGGACATTCCTGAAAACTTACATTCTATTTAACTACATATGACAGACATTGGGCTAAGCTGGAAATCCAAAATATGTGAATAAATAATCCCAGGAAATATGATCATTGCCATCTTGAAGGTAAATGAGAGATCAGTCCAGATTTTGGGGGGGCCTAAATCTTATCCAGTTGCTGGGAAGGGGAAGACTCTTTAAGGAAAAGAATATAAAATAAATTCAAAGTTAGGTGCAGGCCTAAGAAGGGACTTGTGCAAGTAACAGGCCCAGAAGCTAAGTCACCTCTGAGGAAGATACAAAGGGCAGAGGAAATAATGGAGTAGGTCGTCTGGCAGTCTGATTGACCCAGAAAAGTTTCACAGTAAAAAGGAATCTGAACTGAGAATGGAAGGAGGTACCACTTTGAGGTTGAGGTTCTGGGATCTTCTCCAGGAAACCGATCCATGGGTCAGACCCACAGATGCAACTGCAGAGCTTTGCCTCTCCCTGGGCAGAGAGGCCATTGGATAAGCTGCAGACGGTCCGTCAAGTTTGCGGGGAAAGGCCAGGAAGAGCCAGAGTTAGACAGAGGAAGGAGAAGAAAGAACAAGAGAATGGAGTGGAGTTGCTACATACGCACAGTGCATGCAAGCGTGAATAAATATCTGAATAAATGAAAAGAAATTAATAAGATGAATGCATTCTCTTTTCCCTCACTAACCTGACCTCCCCCATGGTTCACACTTATCATGATTTATATGTCTCCCAACTCACAGATTTTCACAAATTGTCAAGAAACAGCCCTGAATGGGGGGACTGGGTGGCTCAGTCAGTTAAGCTTTCAACTCTTGATTTCAGCTCAGGTCATGATTTCAGGGTAATGGGATCGAGTCCCGAGTCAGGCTCTGCACTCACCGAGGAGTCTGCTTAAGATTCTCTCTCTCTCTCTCCCTTGCCCCTTCCCCCACCATGTCTACACTCTCTCTCAAATAAATAAATAAATTTTTTAAAATATTTTATTTATCTTGAAGAAAGAGAGAGAGCACAAGCCAGGGGAGGAGCAGAGGGAGAGGAAGAAGCAGGATGTCCACTGATGCAGGGCTCAATTCCAGGACCCTGGGATCATGAATGCAGCCAAAGGCAGACAGTTAACTGAGCCACCCAGGTGCCCAGATAAATAAATCTTGAAGGAAGGAAGGAAGGAAGGGAAAAGAAAGAAAAAAGAAAAGAAAGGGCTCTGAAGAAAAGGCAAGGGAATAAGGATAACTCTTCCTGACCTATCAGAGCTCATACACCTGTGGCATGCCTGTGTTCAAGAAGGAAAATATCAAATACAAACCTGGATGAATAAAATGCAAGCAGACAGCATTTCCAGGGATGCACACTGTTTTGCCATTGTGTTGATTAGAACATGTAGGCAGAAGGAGCCTACAATCTGGGAGAGCCCCCCATTTGCTTCAAAACAGTGTGACGGGAGGGATGCGGATGGTGGATGTGGCCATGGATGAGATCAGATTGGTATGTGTGGATAGTTTCTGAAGCTAGGTGGTAGGACATGAAATTTCTTTTTCCATTTGCTCTACTTGTGTATTATTGAAGTGTTCTATAATAAAACATAAAAGAAAAAAGGGGACGTGAGACGATTCTGGTCACCTCCCTCCACTCCCACACCACTGATAACCTGATCAGACTGTATTGAGACATCATTCAGATAAAGTCAAGGTAGTGTCTTCTTAGATCCTTTCCCCATGCTTCCCCTTCCCCCACACCCCTGCTTCCCCTTCCTCACCGTAGGACTATCAGTAGCTTAAAATATGAATAGGGGAATACAATGGCCGACATGTATGTCTTTATTACAAGAAATCCCAATTTTCTTGGGTATTTGTTCATAAAGATGAACTGTGCCCAAGTGCTCTGTCACTGGTGTGCAGGCGCAGCGAAGGGGGAGTCACCGTGGTGGCCTGGAGACAGGGCCATGAAGTGACACAGTCTGAAACCACCTGGCCCAGGAGCTAGATCTGTTGCTTACCAGCTGGGGGACCCTGGCACGTTACCTAACAGGCATCTCATAGCACTGGGGTGAAAATTCAATAAGGATAAAGTATCTGGTCAAAAGTCTGGCATTTAGCCATACTCAGTAAATGCAAATTATTTCCTTTGCTGTCAGAACCTGCCTTTTGGCAGCAGCAACACATAGGAACGGAAGCTGGCATGAGTAAGTACCACCTCTTACAGCTACTGTCCTACAGCAGCGGGAGTTTTGTGGCAGCGGGGGGTGCGGGGGGCACATCCCTCCTGGCAGATTCTGGTCTGGATTTCTTCCTTGGTTGGGGAATTTTCCATCTGTTTCCGGCTTACAAAAATATTAACTGATACACTTACAAAATGTATAAAATATATAGATAATTACAAATAAGGAAATAAAAACTATCCATGATCCTTCCACTAAAACAACCACGGTTAACGTTTTGTGGCATGTGATACGTAGATAAAGACATACACTCTTTTTAAAAAGTGAAATTATGCTCTACATGCTCTATACACTGATTGGTCCCTTGCCTGTCTCACTTAACGATGAATCAAAAATATTTTTCACGTCACTGAAATTCTTTCTACATCACTTTAAAATGGCTGCCCAGTACTAACCAATATTTCAAATGGGCATTTTCATAAGTATATACTCACCATAAATTAGGGTCAGTTCCTGGAGGTAAGGTGCTGGGTCAAAGTACATGCATATTTAGAAGTATGAAATATGAGAGATGCCTGGGTGGCTCAGTGGGTTAAGCATCTGACTCTTGGTTTCAGTTCAGGTCATGCTCTCAGGGTCCCAGGACAGAGCCCCATATGTGGCTCCCTGCTCAGCAGGGCGTCTGCATGAGGATATCTTTCCCTCCCCGTCTGCCCCTCCTTCGTCTCTCTCTTTCTCTCTCTCCCAAATAAATAAATCTTAAAAAAAAAATAAAAGTATGAAATATGAAGTCATGTTGCCCTCCAGAAAGATTACATCAATGTATATTCCCAGAACACCATTCTCATCAACTGGGAAGTGATTTTACTTTCAAGTTTGTGAATTTACTCATCAAATAGATATTGATAGTCTACTGTCTGGTTGGGGTTTTTGGGGGGGTTTTGGGTTTTTTTGTTTTATTTTGTTTTGGGGTTTTTTTTTTATTTTTTTGGTTTCTTTTTTTTTTGCCTCTCACGAGGCCCTCCCCCAGAACCCACGCCCACATCCGATCTTGGGCACACCCCCTAAACCCAACCTTGTCGAGTTTCTAGCACCTGCCTTGGCTGCTGCCTAAAAACAGAAACAAGAGCCCTCAATGAAAGATCTTCCACTGGGCCGTCCCCAGAGTACGCCCCGCTAACCCGTCACTGAGCCATCTGTCCTTTGCTTTCTGCCTCTGTAGTGGGAACAGCCATGGCCTGGAGTCTCCGCGGGAAAGCCCAGCTTGGAGGACTGCTCCTCTCTCTCCTTGGCTGGGTCTGCTCCTGTGTCACCACCATCCTACCGCAGTGGAAGACTCTCAGTCTGGACCTGAATGAAATGGAGACCTGGGTCATGGGACTTTGGGAGGTCTGCGTGAATCAGGAGGAAGTTGCCGTGTGCAAGGCCTTTGAGTCCTTCTTGTCTCTGCCCCAGGAGCTCCAGGTATCCCGCATCCTGATGGTAGCCTCCCACGGGCTGGGGCTACTGGGGCTTCTGCTCTCTGGCTTTGGGTCCGAATGCTTCCAGTTGCACAGGATCAGATGGGTATTTAAAAGGCGGCTTTGTCTCCTGGGAGGGACTCTGGAAGCATCAGCTTCAGCCTCTACCCTCCTCCCAGTCTCTTGGGTGGCCTACGCCACAATCCAAGACTTCTGGGATAATAGCATCCCTGAGATTGTGCCTCGCTGGGAGTTTGGAGATGCCCTCTACCTGGGCTGGGCTGCTGGGATTTTCCTGGCCCTCGGTGGGTTATTCCTCATCTTCTCAGCCTGTCTGGGAAAAGAAGATGTGCCCTCCCTCCAGATGGCTGGCCCTACAGCCCCACCATTCTATGCCCCAGCAGACCAGTCCAGTGACTCCTTCTATCTAACACCAAGAGCCAGGAACCTATTCATCTAGCAACTGCTCCTGCCAAGGAACCTGTGGAATAAAGGAATGTCGGTAGAATCTTTTCTCTTCCTTATCCTCCGTCACTCTACATTTAGTCGTCTCACATGGGGGTGGTAGTCACTGTCCTATTGGTTAAGGATTTAACTATCTTGGTGATATGGTGATCCATAATTTTGGAATAAAAATCAAGGCATGCCTGTACCCCTGGGGAAAAAAAATATATGTTTATAAAAAATAAAATTAAAAAAAAAAATCAAGGCACGGAGTGCCTGGATGGCTCAGTCGGTTAAGCGTCTGCCTTTGGCTCAGGTCATGATCCCAGAGTCCTGGGATCGAGCCCCACATCAGGCTCCCTGCTCAGCAGAGAGCCTGCTTCTCCCTCTGCCTCTGCCTGCCTCTCTGCCTGCTTTGTGCTTCCTCTCTATCTCTCTGTCAAATAAATAAAATCTTTTTTAAAAAATCAAGACAGAATTTCTAATGAACATGTTTTTCTGACTTAGATTTTACTTGTTTTAAATGCTTTTAAACTCATAACATTAATTATATACTCAATTCATTACTAAATATATTGCAAAATTACAACTATCATAGGAAATCTAGCGTGAATAGCCACTGTAGATATGAATGGAAATGCTGTGGGGTGCCTGGGTGGCTCAGTCGGTTAAGCATCTGCCTTTGACTCAGGTCATGATCTTGGGGTCCTGGGATAGAGCCTGTGTCATGCTCCCTGTTCAATGGGGAGCCTGCTTCTCCCTCTCCCTCTGCCCCTCCTTCCACCCACAATTGTGTCCAGGCTCTCTCTCTCTTTTTCGAATAAATAAAAATCGGGGCACCTGGGTGGTTCAGTGGGTTAAGCCTCTGCCTTTGGCTCAGGTCGTGATCTTAGGGTCCTGGGATCGAGCCCCGCATCGGGCTCTCTGCTCTGCGGGGAACCTGCTTCCCCTCCCCCACCCCTGCCTGCCTCTGTGCCTACTTGTGATCTCTCTGTCTGTCAAGTGAATAAATAAAATCTTTAAAAAAATAAAAATAAAAATCTTTTTAAAAAGAAAAAAAAAAAGAAAGAAAGAAATGCTGGAGAATATGCCTTGGCAAATGAAAATGAATTATTGCCCCAGGATAGCACCTTAACATAGGAAGCTTCCTTGTGTTCGTTCTCTTTCTCAGGTGCACAATCTGTAAAGGGAACGTCACAATATCTGTGTGGTTCTATGGATTCTTAACATCCCAGAGGGAAGACAAGTTCTTGTTTCTGCTGTATTATGAGGCTGTGAGTGGTCGGCTCTATCTTCCCAGAGAAATAGTGTGAATGAGCCGTAGGGTGAACAACTGTCCCGGTTTGCCCAGAACTCGGCACTTGCAGTGCTAAAGCCAGGAGAGTCCCAGGCACACACGGATGTGGAGAGAAGTAGCAGCTTCTCAGAAATGTCTTCTACACTAGGCAAATTAACATTACACTTCCTTTCAAGTGGAACCCAAAGGTCAGCAGATCTACCCAGGCTGTGGCTACAAATTAAGTCCCCTTCACAACAGTGACTCCAGCTCCTTTGCACCTGCCCTGGCCAGTAGTGGGCCTGATTACCCCTCCCCCAGGTCTTCCTTAGGCTTTTGTGCAAGTCCTCAAGGGGGAGCCTCACACTTACACAGGAACCTATGTGTCGGCTGAAATCACCACGCGTTACCCACCCTGGTCCTCTCACTGCCATCTGTCCCCCACTCCCTTAATCAGTGGAGAATGAGTCCGTGATTCCTGCGGTAGAATAGAGGTGCTGGCTCCCAATGTCCCCGAGCGGATCACTTCCCCAGGCCCAGAGGCAGGCCTGATTGCTTGCAGAGCTGAGTAGAGACATCGTCCCCCAGGCCGGGCTCTGAGGTATGACCAGCTTGCGGGCCTTCGCCTCTCGCTCCTCCATCAAGCAGCCCTGGTGCTTTTAGGGAGCTGCTGCTTGAGCAAGAGGTACACCAACATGAGTGTAAACGAGTTTGCCAACATAGCCCAGGCTGCTTTCCTCCTTAGAGAAATAACGTGGGTTTTTGGTTGGTTTTCCTGAGGAAACGAGTCTGTCCAGGCACAACTTCATTTCTGGCAACATCTACCTTCTTACCCAGAGTGTGGGGGGTGGGGGTGGGGTGTCTCTAGGAGTCATGCTTTCTCCAGAAAGCTCCTTTCCCTTTAATGTCCTTTCGTGTATATGTCCACTCGATGTCCATAAATCCAAATGACTTTCAGCAGATAAATTTCCGAGCATAAAAGGGCAGTTTGCACCAAAGTCATAGTCTGGCTTTCTGTGGTTCCAAAGCCCATTTCATCAACTGCTCCTTCTCAGGACTGAGCCTCAAATATCCAACACTTACGCCTGGGTCCCACCGGATCTCCAGGATGGACCCATCTCATCATTCGTCCACCTGGTCCCTTGTTCATTCAGTGAACAAACACGCACTGAGGACCTACCGTACTCCCGGCACCTTGCTAGGAACCGGAAATAAAATGGTAAAAGACAAAATTTATCCCTGCCCCTCGTAGAGGCAGATGGGGAGACAAATATGAATGTGAAATCACTTAAGTAAAGGGAAATCATGATCATGACACGCTTGACAAATTTGGAACGGTACGTGTTTCTAGAACACGCAACAGGAGCAACTGTAATGTAGTCAGGGGGTCACGGACGGATATCCGAAAGGGGCGATAACTGGCTGAAAGGTGAAGGATGGAGAGCAGTTCTGGGTGAAGAGAGGAGAGTGCATAAGGCTAAGGCGAGGGAGGTAGGATGGAGCCAGATTTGCAGAGCCTGTCCCTCACATTATGGAACTGTCTCTACTATTGGGACCACAGGAAGCCGAGCATGCGGCCAGGAAGTGGAACTCAGCCCCCAGGTGATCGCAGCCGTTCCTGCTCCCCCTCCTGTCACCCTCATCCCCACACGGTTTCCGGATGACACAGTTGTGCAGGGCTTCAGAGTTTACAAAACACCTCCATGTATCCTGGGAGTTTTACTGAACACATCTTGAGGGTTGAGTGTTTTTTGTTGTTGTTGTTTTCTTTTGTTTTTGTTACTTGAGGTCGGGAGAGCTACTATTCTTTGTTTTGCTAAGGAGGAATTTGAGATGCAGAAACTTTGGGCCAGTGCACCCGGTGAATCATGAGCTGCCTGGGACGGGAACCCACTAAGGCCGTGATGCCAGGGCCGTCCGTCTCTCTTCGCACGGTTCCTGTCGCTTTGTGACGTCGGGTTGCTGGGACAGTCTGCTGCGGAGATGGTCTGCCAGACCGAAGGAAGAGCTAGCACTGAAGCAAAAGAAAAACAAATCCAAGACCTACAAAGAAAAATCGTATCCTTTGTGCTTTTGTTGAGGCCTAAACAGGGTTCAGGTGGCTCACCTGTTCCTGCTGCTGCTCACAGCCCTCCTCCTAATCCCATGTTTGCATGTTTGCAGGTGCTAATGGGATACTTATCACCAGCATGTGATTACGGCTTCCACTGCCAAAAAAAAAAAAAACCACAAACTACAAGCCAAAGATTTGTTAAGAAAATATTTTGTCTTCCTAATTCTTATAAAGGACACAAAGGTACTTTTTAAAAAAATGTGATGGATGGGGATTGTTGATTGACTCCCAAGTAATCAACAGCATGTCAACTCCCAGAAGGGAGTGTGAATCCACATTTAGAGAAGGAGTCTGAGGAAGAAGATGAGATTCACTTAAAACCGCCACTGTTTTCATCTACCTGCTTTGTAGGGAAAATAATGAGAAATAAAAATAGAACTAATTAAATCTTAGTTTCAACTCAGCCTTTTTTTCCTAAGGACTCGCAGCAAATTATCCTAACATTAGGAACATTTCCTTATTGTGGTTACCCATGGAGAGCTGTGTGTTGTCATGTGTATTAGAAACAGCAAAGGATACCAGTCAATCAGAATTCTAAGTCAAAAGCTTTTGTTATATGCAAAGCACTGTAAGAAAGTAATTCAGGGACTCACCAAATTTGTTGTCATTGGAATTGGCTGTGCCTCAGTCCCGTCTTCGCCAACAGCCTGTCTTTGGGTCTGAAAACTTCACCATGAACAGCTAAGGCATTCCAGAAGGTCCCTATTAAGATATTCATGTGTTGGGCGCCTGGGTGGCTCAGTTGGTTAAGCATCTGCCTTCAGCTTAGGTCATGATCCCAGGGTCCTGGGATCGAGTCCTGCATCAGGCTCCCTGCTCCATGGGGAGTCTGCTCCCTCTGACCTTCTCCCCTTTCATGCTCTCTCTCACTGTCTTTCTCTCAAATAAATAAATAAAATCTTAAAAAATAATAAAAAATAAAATACTCATCTCTTACCCTTGCGAGCTTCTGAGACTAGATCTAGAGAAAAGGTCCTAAGGGAAGTCGATGTGGGTTAGACACATTTTGGGATGGGAGAGAAGTCAGAAATAGTTTCATGAGCTTCTAGCAGCCAGGACTAAGACAATAAAACAGAATTAGGAAAATGTTTGTAGTCACCGGCCTCAAGCACAGAATGAAAGACCCCAGAGGTTACTTTCCACTCTGAATGTATTTTAAAAATTATTTTAAAAAAATAATGACTTATTTTTAAGCCATTCTTCTTGCTATTCTATCCATGTTTATATAGAATGGACCTCTCTGTTGCCCAGAATTTTTAATAAAGCCTCAAAGCCAAGGACAATGGATGCCATGTGGCCCCTAGTCTAAAGAGAGAGGCTCAACCACTGCTTCCAAGAAGGGGCCAAGCTGGCCAGCCCCACACCGACAGCCTACAAAAGAGAAGCACACAGATTCATTAGAGAGGATTCTGGGAAGGGAATCCGTAGCATTGATGGGTATGGTGGTGTTCCCTACCCTTCCATGTGAGGAATGGGTGGAAATGGACCTTAAGAGAATGACGCAGAGATAGGGGCTCTTTCTAAGAAGGAAGATGGTATCTGAAACACACCCATCCCACACTGGTTGAGCTCCAGAAACTCTATAGTCCCATGTCTGCTGCCCTCGGGATGGTGCCCAAGAAAGTTCTTGAGAAAACCGGATCTGAGCTCTGGAGGCGCAAAGAAGGGAGCCTGAGGCCCACCGAGCGGTCTGCAGCAGGAGGCTGGCTGGAGTTGCACTTGGCCCTTGTGGGGGGCGGGGGTGTGAGCTTCACACAGCCCAAGTGAGTGCTGGGGAAGCCGTCTGGGTGACCTGTGCCAGAGCACTGCTGGGAGGCGTGAATGACTTAACTAGGAGCTTAGGAGGTCTGCAAGAGGTCAGCCAGGAAGTCCAAAAGCCACATCAAAGGACAGTGCGGAGCTTTTCAATGGGGTTCTCTCGAGAACCCGAGAACCCGTAAAATATCCAACACAAGAGCTAATAATCACATTTCTGACATAACAAAGGACATTTGAGAACCAAGAGGGCATTTCTGTTTTTATTTAAAAAGTAGACATCCTTTGCCTTCTCTTACAAAGCCTCCTCCCACAGGCTCTAGGGGAGCCAGGAGTTGGGGGTGAGGAGGGGCACGGAGCAGGGTGAGTGGGAGGACACCCTATGGCTCCTTCCTTACTGCTAGTCCCTGACCTTCAGGCTTTGGCCTGAAGTCAGGTGAGAGGAGAAGCACCTGAAAATGGATGAGTAAACTTTTGCTCTAGATTGGTCTGGGCTCTGCCATACATGAAAATCATTGTTTTAATACTCCCACATGCCAGGAAAGGTACGCCATCTTCCTGAGATGCTGTCAGGGGCAGGGAAGGAGATCCATAGGATCGTATTGGAAGGTGGCAGTGGAAACAAAAAGGAAACTATTGTCTTGCTGGACCTTATTGAGTTCAAGCTTTCAATGACATGATTAAAGAGAAAAATGTATCTAAAACAGGAGAAGAATCGGATAGAAGATGCCATGATTCTTCTCTCCAGCATAAGTTCCCTTCAGTGTTTCTTTCTCCCACATTGGCCAATACGAACACTTCTATGTACCAGAGCCCCACAACCCTTTAGATATCTAGCTATGCCCTGGTTATTTAGAAGCCATCTGTGGGACCTACACAGGCCAAGCCTACTCTTAAAATTCTCACCCTGTGACAAATTCCCCCATGAGAACTGCATCTAGGGCTCTATTCACACTGAGTCATTGCTACTTCTCTCTTCTTCACTCTTAAAACATTACTACGAGGTAAGTATTTTCCTGTTTCATAGCCTGGGAAAACAGGTTCAGCCAGCATTTGAACTCAGATATGTCAGATTATGATGTCAATATTTCCATGGAACATCTTTTTGTTTTTTATTTAAATTCAATTATCCAACATATAATACATTAGTTTTAGAAGTAGTCTTCAATAAGTCATCGGTTGTGTGTACCACCCAGTGCTCATCACACCACGTGCCCTCCTTAATGCCCACGACCCAACTACCCCATCCCTCCACCCACCTCCCCTCCGACAACCCTCAGTTTGTTTCCTATAGTTAAGAGTCTCTCATGGGTTTTCTCCCTCTCTGATGACTTCCCATTCAGTAACCCCCCTTCCCCTATGATCGTGTGCACTGCTTTTTATATTCCACGTGAGTGAAACCATATACTTCTTTCTCTGACTTATTTCACTCAGAGTAATACCCTCCAGTTCCGTCCATGTTGATGTAAATGGTAAGTATTCATCCTTTCTGATGCCTGAGTAATAGTCCATTGTATATATACACATCACATCTTTATCCATTCATCTGTCAATGGCCATCTTGGCTTTTTCCATAGTTTGGCTATTGTGGACATTGCTGCTATGAACATTGGAGTGCACGTGCCCCTTTGGATCACTACATTTGTATCTTTGGGGTAAATACCCAGTAGTGCCTTTGCTGTCTCTCTGTCAAATAAATTAAATCTTTTTTTTAAAAAGGGGCAGGAAAAGAAACCCACAAAGTCTTACAAAAGAGATACAAAAGCAAAATACAATTCTTTAAAAACACTAGTAAACCCCTGATAATACTAACCAGAAAAAAGATACATGTCACCCAGCATCAGTAAGGAAAAGAGACATCGCGAGAAATCACAGATCCTACGGTCATTTAAAAAAAAAAAAGAAGAAGAAGAAAAATAATGAGGTGTTATGAACTTTCTGCCAGTAAAATTTAAATTTTAGTTGAAATGGACAAACTTCTAATAATTTCCAAAATTCACATATGTAACCCCCCCAAATATGAAAATGTTGTATATATGAAAGAAACTGCATGCATAATGAAAAGCATGCCTACAAAACACACAATTCTAAGCTCAGATGATGTCAAAAACAAATTCTTCCAGACATTAAGAAAGAAATAATCTTATCTTATCCAAACTCTTCTAGAGCAGAGAAAATGAGAGACTATTTCCCAATTCATTCACTAAGACCAGAAAAACCTTAATACCAAAACCTTGACAAGGACAAAATAAGAAAAGGCCAATCTCCCTCATAAATATACATGCAAAAATCCTAAAAATAAGAAAAATTCCATGTACATATAAAAATATCATGACCACTGTGTTTTGGCAACTCATGGTTGGTTTAACATTTAAAATTAGTAAATGTCACACAAGAACAGAAAAAAGAGAAGATCCATGTAATCATTCTAATAGGTATAGAAAAAACATTTGATACATTTCAACATCCACTCATAATTTTTTAAAAATTCTTTGCAAAATAAGAATAGAAGGAATCTTTATTATATAATAAATGGAATTTATAAAAAGCCTACAGCATACTTAATTGTGAAATGTTGAAAACCTTCCCACCTGGTATTAGGGGACAAAGATGCCCACTATCACCACTTCTATTCAGCATTGTACCTGAGGCCCTCGAGTGTGATCAAGCATGGAAAATCATTGTTGCAAGGGCTTGCAATAAAGAAATAAGTCATCATTCACAGATAACATAATTATGCACAGAGAATCTTTAAAAACTACTGATCAAATTACAATTAGTAAATGAACTTATTAATGTCACTGGATCCACGTTTGATATAAAAACATCAATTTCTTTCTCAAATTTGTGTCTCATCCTTGTACAGGGGCGCTGATAATCTTCTCCGTATTGTTCCAATTTTAGTGTATGTGCTGCTGAAGTGAGCACATTGTTTCTAGATACCAGCAATAAACAATTAAAAATATAATTCCAAAAACGACATTTACAATAGCTTGAAAAACATCAAAGATCTAGGAATTGATTTATGAAAGATATGGAAGAACTTAATACAGAAATTTAAGAACTTAATACAGAAATTAAGAAATTTAAGAAAACCTACATACACAGGATATATTGTGTATATACATATAGATTAGAAGATGTCAATTCTCTCCAAATTATCTATAGTCACTGCAAACCTAATCAAAATCCCTCAAAATCTGTGTGTGTGTGAAACTGACAAACTGATCCCAAAATGTATATGGCAAAATTTTGATTAATAACAGACAAGATGATCTTGACTTCATCTTGACTTGAACTTGACTTCAGTTCAAAACTGGATGATTTATTGTACTGGGAGTCAAGACTTATAAAAAGCTACACAAATTAAGACAGTGTGATGTTGGTACAACCAGACAAACATACTAATGGAACAAACAGGGCCCAGAAGGATACCCCTATATAGACATTTGATTTATGACAAAGGCACAGCACTGGGAAGAAGACAGTAGATGGAGGAGGTCCATCAGCTAACTGGGAAGGGTCAAAAAGCAAAACTTCTGAGAGATAACACAGAATGTCTTCATGACCTTGGATAATGATTAGAAGAACGGGTAGATTGGACTACACTAACATTTAAAAAATTGTTTTCATCAAGCCATCAGGAGTGAAAACCCAGAGTGCGAGAAGATCTATGCAATGCATATAACTCAAAAATTTCCATAACTGGCTATTTTTTTTTTAAACTCCTACAAATCAGTATGTAGCAAGATAGTAAATCCAACAAAAAGGCTGGCAAAAGACTTAACTAGGTATTTCACAAAAGAGAATAGCCCAAGCAATAAGCATATAAAGAGATGCTCAGCGTTGTTGGTGTGCAAGTTCAAATTAAAGCAACATCACATGGCCATAATGGCTAAAATCTAAAATACCGACAAAACCAAATCTTGACAAGGATACGAAGCAACTGGAGCTTGTAAATTGTCGGGGGGTGGCAGGCAGTCTCAGTATAACTGCTTTGGGAAACCATGTGGCAGTGCCTAGTAAAGACACAGACCCTTATCCCTATGACCCATACACCCTATGACACAGCAATTCTGCTCACAGTTCCATGATAGAAACACCTTCGTGTGGGCATCGAAACACATGCACATGAATGCTCCTAGCAGCATTATGGGTAGTAGCCAAAAAACTGGAAAGAATTCAAATGACAATTAGCAAATAAATTGTAAGGTATAGTCATACAAAGAAAGAGCAATAAACCAAGCAATGAAAATGGCTAAACTCTGCTCCTGTGAATCTCTCCTTTGATCCCAGCTCTGCTTCATCAGCCTTCCTTCAGGCCTTGCCTCCGGTTCATTCATTTTTTGAAACTGTTGTGTCTTTCCTCTCACAATTCTTTCTTGAAGCAGGGAGGGGAAAAACGAGCTTATACGGCTTGGAGTTCTTAGAGGAGCTAACAAATCTGAACAGAAGCAGGTTGTGATTCCAGCGAGCCAGAGGAAGTCTAACCCCAGTGTCAAGGGAATTTATGCTGAGGTCAAGTGCCCTGATAAATCCTTGAAACATTTTAGGTTAAGAGTCTCGTAGGTTTCTTCCCCACACACCCGCCAACCCCACCTGGCCCTCATCCTTTTTTGTGATCCTTCAAACATGTAAAAACCATGCTTACCCTGAGGTAGTTTGTGGATTCCTTAAGAAACCAGGTTGTCCCTAAAAGAGCCAGCAGATGTGAGGAGAAAGAAAGGACTCCTCAGCACTCCACCTGAGGGTCTGAAGTGCCCAACACCACACATACAAATGGCCATCTGTTCCTTTCTTGGTTAACTACAGATTCCCAACAGCTGACCAGTAAGTAACAAATGTGGGAAAGTACAGAGCAAAAGATTTTTTAAGATTTTATTTATTTGAGTGAGCGAGAGAGAATGAGAGAGAGAGGGGAGAAGGTCAGAGGGAGAAGCAGACTCCCCATGGAGCTGGGAGCCCAATGCGGAACTCGATCCCAGGACTCTGGGACCATGACCCAAGCCAAAGGCAGTCGCCCAACCAACTGAGCCACCCAGGCGCCCGAGCAAAATATTTTTCCCGACTACTGAGGGCAGCTGAGCAGTTGTTAAAAGGCCATGAACGTGGACTACCAAGACTTAGCCTCCTGGCTCTGCTCCTTAAAACATCTAGGACCTTGGACAAACCAGTCCCCACCACCATCACAGGACTCTTACAAGAAACCAAACAATTTAACTGTGCACAGCACTCAGTAATGACAAAGATGAGAAAGGGAACAGCAAATGGTGGTACTCGAAGCTTAAGTAGCAAATCAAATCAAAAGTAAGAAAATGGATCAATTTCCCATGAAACAATTATCTCTGCAGTGAGCTCTGAAATGCAAAAGCACTTCTGAAATTCTGTAAAAGATGGCCCACCACAAATTAGTCAAAACGTAAAGTCCACCTTAAGAGAATAACTTTTTCCCCTCCTAAATTCTACAAATTATAGGGGCGTCTGTGTGGCTCAGTCAGTTGAGTGTCTGCCTCTGGCTCAGGTCATGATCTCAGGGTCCTGGGATGGAGCCCCACATCCGGCTCCCTGCTCAGCGGGGAGCCTGCTTCTCCCTCTCCCTCTGCCTGCTGCTCCCCCTGCTTGTGTTCTGTGTCAAATAAATAAATGAAATCTTAAAAAAAAAAATTCTACAAATTAGACAGTAGATAGACTTACAAGCATTGCAACTGGCAAATGGGAGGGAAGACACCAGCCACCACTAGGTGCTGCCCAAGAATCACTCTCCCCCAACAAGGTTCTCAACACTTTCGTCTGCTTTTCTCTTCTAAAGAAGTAAAACTTCTTTAAAATGCTTACTGAGTGCCTAGTTCCAGAAAGTACGTTTAAATGAAGGCCACAGCACACACCAAAGGTACAACAAATACTTTTATTGCACATTTATAAAATCTGCATAGTTGTATCAAGTGTTCTTCCCACCCGCTCTTCCCTCATTCATGTTAAAATTTGGTTAAAACACAATATCCAATCTGGAGCCTTTTAAAAATGGTCAGTTGGGGATAGTTCTCTCTCTACATATACATATATATAGATACTTTTTTTTCTTTTTTACAAACCCACAGCCCTTGTCTTTTCAAAGCAAAAAACGGGGGTGGGGGGTGGGGGGTGGGGGAGGGGCATCCAAATGTTCTTTCGGGCCAGCAGCAGCCTTAGACATCTGTTGTTGACAATTTTTGGACACTAGGAGATTTCAATGAAATGGGGAACAACGCTCACAGTGCTCTCCTGTCTCCATCACGTTTCACCACGCCGTTGCATCTACGGTCCTTAGTGCTTTGCTTTCTTTCACTCGGGACTGAGTGTGAGGTTTTCTGGTTTATTGAGAAATATAAAATAAGAGAGAGAGAGAGGAGAGGAAAGGCAGCTTTCTTTTGACTTTGCAGCATCCTGCTGCCATGTGCCCCTGTGTTTCCACCTACACGTAAAAGGCTGGCAGTTCATCAGCAGCCCACTGCCATCTCCTGTCAAGAGACAGGCAGAGACTTCTCATCTCTTGCCGTTAAGAACTTTCAGATGTCACCTGTATTTGATAAAATAACTAGTAGCTGTTCATCTGGTTCAGGTTCTGATGGATCATTCTTCTATTCCACTGTCAAAAATATTTATGCCTACGGGATAATTTTAAAAGTGGCAAGAGGCTTACTGAAGCCCAAGTACTCCTGCAGGCATAGGAGGCATTTCAGGTCTTCTGACATAATTCAATACCTTAATATACAACGGTTCTTGTCTTTTTTAGTGAAATTGCTTTTCTGATTCTTTACCTAAAAAGTGCAATTTTATTTTCAATCCTTCTTTACACGCAGAGCATGGCTGGGGTCTGGATCTGAATCTTACTTTCCCGCCTAATCCCTCCCCCAGGGGAAACACTGTGACAACAGACTTCTGTGCAACAGGCCGCCGCAGACCAAACTGGGTCTTGACCCCGAGGGGGCTTATTTCACTGTTACAGTTGAAACCCCTTGAATTGACTCCATGACAGCTGCAAATCGGCTACAAAGGTCATAGGGAGAATTGGGTCGAATGGTCGGAGGCTCCTTCAAGACAATGATTTCTGCAGAAGGATCCAGAAGCCTGGGTAGAAACTCTCCTAAGCACAGCTGTAGATTTTCTGTGGAGGGAAAAGGGATCATTATGTACACAGTGAAGCAGGTCTCCAAGTAAAGACCAGCTAAGTCTGCAGCCAGAAGGTCTTCCCTAGAGCCCATTCATGCCCCAACCTCAAAGGTCAAAGCATCACGCTGGCCAGCTAACAACAAATGATTCGTTCGCTTCAAACCAGGAGCAAAGACTACTTGCCAGATATACCAAAGCATTAGGTCACTGCTTTAAACCATTGATGTGTGGCAGGAAAATACTAAATATGCATTTCACTGACAGGCCTTCTAATCCATCCTTTTAAAACTTGAGAAAGTGGGTAAGATACTCCATGCCATAAATATAATGGTGTCATCTCCTTTCAATGATTAAAACACAGGTGCGTACGTATGGCACTGTAAGTAAAGCTACGTGTCACACAGAGTCAAAGGAAAACTGAAGATATTAAAAAGAAATTCCTAACTACTAATCATAGAATTTTCCACTCAATATTATAAACATGAATACTTCAAGAAGTCAATACAATATCGTTACGTCAGTGAGAAACGGACAAAGAGGCTTCATATTAGAACACAGACCAACTTTCTAAGGCTACCAGAACTCACCTAAAAATGACTAGTTTTAGGCTCCCTCTCCAAAATGCTTTGGACAAGCTAGGCCATTCCATTTCTCACTTTATGAACCTTGAGGGCTTCACAGTTAGTAACCATGCTCTGTCTTGCAAGTTCAAGTCACCAGAAAATTTAGTTATGGCCCCACCAAGTCATCAAGCTACATAAATAGATTTTGATTTCTCA